GAACTATAAAACCCTTTGCAGCAGAAGTCCTTGATTGCTAAGGGGTGCCATTCACGCTTATCAGCAAAGCATGAATTCTTGGGGGCTAGAAAGCAGCAACCACATTGACATGGATGGCTGACAGAAGTCATATGCATGGAATGCTGGAAGTTGTACAGCAGAGCTTACAATTTCCAGCATACCTGTTCTCCTGAAGGAGCTTGGATGGATACTTTCTACAGACATCATCTTGGACCTATGCTACAAACTCCTGCCACTGATGACTGCTATTCTCAGAAGTTTTGAACTGTCCTTCTGAGCACTGTAATTCCCTAACCACCCCATCTTTGCAATCAAGCCAGTAGTAGTGAAAAGTGTTAAGGAGAGCAGTTCCTGGATGGGGACACTATGGACCATTGACAGCAAATTAAAAGGGTTTGGAAGAATGGATATCGGAGTGCATCTTTTATTCATCAGTATCTTTTGAAAGTGAACAGGGATGGGCTTTTTGTACCAGCATCCTGGGCATCTCCAGACTGTGAAAGGCGTAGGTCTGGAGCAGTGCTGTGGATTCAGAATACTTTAAATAACAGATAGTAATGTTGCTGTTGAGCTACTGACTGGGACCTTGAGGGTCTACTGGAAAAGAAGCTGTTTGACTGACAGTCACCACTCTCTGCTCAGAGTGGCGGGGAAAAATGAGCGATAGGCAGTGTCTGATCACTCAGTTCTCACCCTTTGAGCCAGCGGGGGATCGATATTGCATCCACCTAGGTAATGATTTAAAAAGAAAAACAATACTTCTCTTTTAACAGTAAAAACCCTTGTGGCTGTGCTGTGTGATTAGATCTCAGGACTTTATGGACAGAAGTAGAAATCCTTTGTCAAGTAAAACAGCTCTCTTAGTTTTTCATGTGTATTTAGCTGTCCTTTTAGGTTTAGCTTAAAATAAAAGAACAAAAATGACACCTCATTTACCTGTACAGCCCCATCCAATCTCCTTTTATTGTAGAGCTGAACTGAGGTCCTGTGTGTTCCAGCATCTTCATGAGCTCCTCTTGCTGGAAAGGTCTCACCTGGGGCGGATTCTGTACATTTAGATTAACTATTTGTTAAACGATACAACCTTTGAGCTTGGTAAACACAAGAATATATCATACGAAATGCTGTTAGCAATTACTATTTTTAAAAGGTTACATTAAAAAAAAACTATCCTCACAGAAACGTTAAATTCATAGCAGACATCTATTTCTGCAAACTCTAGCTGCTTGGTTTTCAGGCTGATACTCACTGTAGCTTCAATACTTCGAGTCATTAACCCAGAACTAACATGTAGATAAGAACTTGTGATCTCTGTACTTGATTCAGGCGCAACTCAGACAACTGAAGCCAAAGGTTCAAAGTAACAGTTAGGCAATTAGCATTTTCATTACTTTTCAGATTTGTAAATTATTTAAATATATGCACAAATTGAATAATGCATAAAAGAAGGTATGAAATAATTTACAGTGGATTCTCAGATCAAATATTAATGCGGTTCTAAAGGCTGGACATTTTTTACCTTAATGCATTTCTGCATTGAGGTAAAAAATGTCCTTGTATTTGTATCAACCCGTCACCGCCCTGTATATTACCTAAGCTAGATCTCGATTCAGCACTGTGCCCGTCTGCAGTGGCTCTCTCTCTCTGCTCACAGAGGCAGCAGCGGAGCTCCTGCTGCTGTCAAACAAATCCTGAGAGTGAGCAGGGCTAAGCCATGCTGTGTGTCAATAGGCGCACATAGCCTGGCTTAGGAGTGAGCCCGTAGGTGCGCCCCCATAGGAAGTGGCCCCCATAGGAAGTGGCCCCCATAGGAGGAGGAGCCCAGAGCACTGGCAGGGAACCCGAGAAAGAGGAGGTTTAGGGTCGCTCTGTGCAATACCATTGCACAGAGCTTGTAAGCATAACATGGTTATTATTTGAATTTAAAAAAATAAGCTTTACAATCACTTTAAAGTCTTGTTGGGGTGCATGTATTAGACTAGGCTGGGTTGACTCGAAAGGGGGGGTTTAGGGAATGGAGATGTGGGAGGCTGGGATAAATATAGGAATATTTTCTTGTTTCACGAGGGGGATGCGGATTATGGCGGGGGATTTTAATCTCTGCATGGATCCGTTGATGGATGCATTATCACAGGTGCAGAGAGAGGGAGGTAGAAACCTGTCTGGTAAAAGATGTTACATCAGTGCCAATTAATGGACGCCTGGAGAGTTATACATCCTAGAGAAAGGGACTATACCTTCTTCCCTTCTGCACATGGAGTTTACTCACAATTGCATTATATAAATGATTGAGCATGGACTTATGGAGTCATTGGTGAAATCCAATATAGAAGTGAGGTCACTATCGGATCATGCACCCGTCACAATGGGATTAAGGTGGGGAGGGGAGAGAAATAAGATAACTATGTGGAGATTGAACGCTTTTTCAGGACCCAACGACTGAAATAAGATTAAGGAAGGAAATGGAACAATATTTTGATTAATGAAAGTGAAGGGGTATCTGTTGCTACAGTTTGGGAAACACACAAGGCATACATTAGAGGAATCTTGACTTTATAGGTTCTGAAAAATAAAAAAAAAGACCGGGGGAGGAGAATAAAGCTATTAACGGAGGAATTATTTGATTTAGAACAACTACATAAAAAGAAGATGGATATAGAGATACAACAGAAGACAATTCAAAAAAAGAGAAGAACTTAAGGAGTTAATGGAACAAGAGTCGAGGAAAATCTTTAATATGGTGGCTAGAGAAAGATATCAGTGAGGGAATAGACCAGGAAAATACTTAATAAGAAGGCTAAGGGAAAAGAAATCGAGAATTTTTATAGAGAAAAAAAACAAGGATGATACGGGGGAACTGGTACATTCAACCACTGATATCGCTGATGTATTTAAAAAATATTATAGTAAATTATATGGAATAAATCTAGGAACCAGAATGAAACAATAGGAGAAAAAAAAAAAAAGGAAAAACGGCAGACATATTTAAAAGAGGTGAGATTGCCAAGATTAGGAGAAGCAAGATTAGTAGCCTTAGAAAAAGTTATAAACGGAAGAAGAAATTAATGTAGCATTAAAAAGTACAGCAGCAGGAAAGAGTCCCGGCCCAGATGGGCATACATTAGGATATTATAGGAAGTTTAAGGAACAACTTGTCCCCAAAATGTGCACATAAATGAACACGTTAGGAGAATGGATGGAAATGAGGGAGGAATCGTTACAGGCACATATTACAGTTATACCAGAGGGGAAAGATGGGTCCATTGTGCTAACTATAGACCCTTATCACTATTGAATATAGGCATTAAATTATACGCAATGATTTTAGCAACGAGCTTGCAAGAATTAATGCAGGATTAAATACACTTAGATCAAGTGGGATTCATACCAGGAAGAGAAGGAAGGGATAATGAATTAAGATCATTGCTCCTCATACAAAAAAGTAAGAGAGAGAAATCCCCTGTGGTAATTCTGTCGATTGATGCTGAAAAAGCCTTCGACAGGGTAGACTGTGGATTTATGATAGATACGTTAGAGGAACTAGGGATCGGACCCAAAATGCTACAGTGGATAAGAAAGTTATATAGTAATCCATTAACTGCGGTAATGGTTAATGGCTCACTGTCACAGTTCTTTAAAATGTTTAATAGAACAAGGCAGGGATGCCCATTGTCTCCCCTGTTTGTTATAACTCTGGAGCCACTATTAGCGATGGTACAGCCACTATTAGCAAAGATAGAATTGCAGGTTTGAAAGATATTATAGATAACGGGGAACTATGTTCTTTTCAAGAACTAAAAAATAAGATGGAGTTATTTTTTTTACACTAGATGAATGGCGTTATCCATTGGGTAATTTTGTTGCTGCGCTCCCAAAACCATTAAGGATGGAGGAAGACATGTATCCATTTGAGCAAATGTTAAGTTTAAATTTAGCACGAAAATATTTTACTTCGAACATTTATAAGATTTTTACGATAATAGCTGGATCAGAGCCTCCAGCGATTTTGTTAAAGTGGGAAAAGGAGCTTGGAACAAAAATGAACGAGGCGCAAAAAAAGATAGTGTTTAAGTTAGTACACGGGGCAATAGATATGAATGTTGTAGAAATGATTTATAAATTTACGGTTCGATGGTACATTACACTGAGTAGAGCTCATAAACAAAGACCGGAGACTTCACCTTTATGTTGGAGGGGATATGGGAGTAAGGGAACAATGGCACACATATGGTGGCAGTGTCCTAAAATCCAGGAGTTTTGGCAAATCATAATTCAGTGTATACGAAAAAATAATGGGGTTATTTTGCTGAGTGACCCTTGGGTTTGTCTATTTCATAAATCTGAGAGTAAAGTGAAGAATTATAAGAACATGTTGATATTTTACTTAACAAATGGGGCAAAAGGGCTGATCCCTAAATTTTGGCAGGTTCAGGAGACTCCAAAAATAAAAGATTGGATAAAAAGAGTGGAGTACATATACACATATACAGGATGGAGGAACTATACCATATTGAAGAGGATAAAATGGAGAAATTTAAAAAAACATTGGAAAGATGGTATGAATTAAAAATATCAAAAAGATACCTTGAATTGATTGGGGTATAAAGAAATAGGGAGAGATAAAAGATATGACGGAAGGTTCTGAAGAGTAATAGTACGAGAAGATTGGAGAGAGGCATGGTGAAGACAGATGGGTAAATATGGGAGAAACAAGAAGTGGAGGAAAAGTGTTTGAATAGGAGGAGGATTTGAAAGGGGAGGGGGTAGAGGGGGGAAAGGGTTTTGGATTAAATTGACTGTGAAAGTTTTTATTATGTAATATTTTAAGATAAAGTGGTTTTTTACTTAAAAAAAAAAAAAAAAATTAATAAAGATATAATAAAAAAAAAAAGGTATAAAAGGTATGTCAAATGTATAAAAATATGCTATTGTATAAAAACATCTTACCTTCCAGGGTGTAATGGAACTGTGATGTGGCATCAGACTACCAATGTACCGCTCCTAAAGGAGAATGAAAACATCAAAATAATGTAAAAATAATCATAATACCAAACAAAAGCTGAGTGCCTCACCAGTGGAAGCATGAAGCTTTGTGTAAGCTCAAACAGATGTTTCTGGAGCAATAAACTCAGCGTGGAAGATGGGAGCCTCTTCTGAAGACCCTGCAGAAGAAACATAAGACAATGTATGCTTGTGTACTAGTATCCTTATACACACAGCCTATAGTAGAATAAACCTTCACATTCTGGTGTCAGTAATTTATGCTTGTGTTCAAACATGAGGTATGCCGCATGGTGCTACGCAGGTTATTGCATGACTTCTGTGTGTAGTGTGAGAACTGCATTTTCCTGGTCCAGGTGAGAGCATTACAGTATTGAGATCTAACACACAGACAAACAAGAACAGCATTCACAGATACAGACAACTCACTGATGCAGCTACAAGATGTTTTTTTATTAACTTAGTACTCCCAATATTTGTGATGCAATACACAGTAGATGGCGATGCATGCATTAGACTCTTTCCTTTTTTACTTAGTTTCTTCCACCCTCTTCAAAGCTGCCCATTATGTGTTATTATTTCTTAACTACAGCCCTGATCCAAAAACCTTCACTGTGTGGTACTGATCGGAAATGCACAGCCTTTCATCTAAAAATGGAGCTTCTTACTGTGCATGTGCACCACAGCCCCATTTATTCCAATGGGAAAACAATACTTACAGCAGCCTCAAGGCATTGTTTAGAATATGCTTTTCCATATGAATGAATGGGGCTGCAGTATGCATGCATAGTTAGAAGTATCCATTTTCAGGAGAACATACAGTGAAGAGTGATGGATCAAGGCTGAAGGTAAGTATAAGACTTGCAGGTCAGTAATCAGATGGGTGGGGGGAACTAAATAGAGAAAAGGAAAAAAATTACAGTTGGCCTTTAAATCCCTCAATATCATGAGATATAAATCGCCTATGTTAACCGAGGCTTGGTCTCTTCAAGTTCAATGATGCCAAATCACTTTCCAAAAGCAAGCAGGTAACATGGGAAACTGTCTTAGCAAAGCAATGTGAGGGGACACGTGAATCATACAACAGGCTCAACAGAATTTATATAGAAATAAAATAACGAGTGCTTTGCTGGATGATGGATTACAATATATGAATGTTAGCACTTTCCAAGGCTGTAAATGTATCACTTACTAAATGTAAAGAATGTAGATGTATAGGATTACACACTACATTGAATATTCACCATTTATGATAGCCACAGTATTACCTTTAGCAATTGTTTGATAAGTGTCTTGTCCTTATGAAGAAACGGCTTGTAGGAAGTGTACATTCCTAAAGTAAACATAAGATTACAAAAAAAAAATGTAAGGAACAACAATACATTTATCTGACTGGGCATGTGGACAATATTAGAGAGAGGAGGGCAGATTGTGGATGAAGAGCTTTTTTCCCACCAGACTATTTCTTTTCCTATGGCCAATTCCTGTATTTTGTGGGATATGTGGGATTGCCATTGTTGACCTTTCCAACTAAAAGTGCTAGTTGCCTGGCTATCATGCCAATCCTGTGGTTTCAATACATCCAGAGCCATTGACCTTGGACACATATTCAGATCAGTAGTTTCTGAATTCACTAGAAACATACTTGTTCTACGTCTTTAACTACTAAACTCAAAGACAGCTAGGCAAATAGCATTTTCAGAAGGAAAGTAGCAAAGGCAAACTACAAATTTCTCTCATTACAGGCTTCCATTAAGGCTGATATTAGATGAGTGACCTGCTAGATGCTGGCTTAATGCCACTTACCTTTTCCTATTTGGTCACTCCCTTGCTAGCTGGACCACTGAGATGTCATTACCATGCTGCTCCCTTGCTAATGAGCAAGATTCTGCAGCATTCTGGGCAATCAAGGGGCTAAGGCTATTAAGGAAAGTAGCTCCTTTACCTGGTTGACTCTGACACTATCAAATGTGTTGTCCTACGGACATGGCCCTATAGGATGGTTTCATCCAGCACTGAATTTCTCATTGGAGGTGTACAAAACATAAAAGAATGACAGCTGATAAAGACCAAGGGGTCCATTGAGTCTGCCTTTTTTGTTTGTTTTGTTAACATTTTTGTTTGAGCATGAACACACATTTATGTGTACAGTTTAGGCCCATTTTATCCCCCCCCCCCCCCCCCGATTTAACTCCAAAAGTCTCACCAGTTTTAGTATCCAGTGTCTTTAGCTTTGTTAGCTTCTTCAGTTTTACTTGCTTTGGCAGATCCCCTGCAAATAATAAAAGTAGTACATTATTTGCTGATTCACATACACACTGACTGATAATTTTTTATTTTTTAGTGGCAACAAAAGTCAAGCTATGCAAAATCTATTATGTCCCTTACCAGATATCCTGGGTTCTCCTACTCGTAGAATGTGTGGCCAATGCTGCAAAGTTTTTATGAAGAAAGGATTGGTGACTCCTAGAAGAAGGCTGGGTCTAAAAGAAAAAGTAGTAAAACATATCTGTACATTATTTTCATTAAACATATAATACAAAATGCTTATATGGTTGGAATTAGTGTTCAATATTCATGCAAACAAAAAAAGTAATCTTTCCTAACTCCATAACACCATATGAATGGGTAGACTCCGCCTTTGCTCCAACCCCATAGGATCCTTCTCCTATACATTTTGAGGCTGATCAAGTCCTTGTGTTCCATAACTAACCAACTTAACTGGGAGGGATCCCATTTTGCCATGGATTTAATCAGGAAAGGAAAAATTCAAGAAAGTGATAACAAATTTCTGTTTTCCTGACTAACTCCATGGCAGCAAAAAAATGGGAAATAAAGAAAACGTAAAAGGTAAGAAGTAATAGTTCAATCACAGTTCTAACAGAAATTTTAACACCAAAAATAACAGGATAAGGATGCTAGCTTTACTCCACAGTGAGCCATAAAGGTATTATTGAGGACCATGGCATCACCTACAATGGTACTACTAACAGCACCCCATGACAGAAAGCCAACAAAGTCCACACTCTCTTGGTTTAATGTGTTGTCAATGCTTATGGGGGAGCCAAATCTTTAGCCCTATAAGCCAGTTGGCTAGGCAGCAAGCAAAGCATACAGTGATGAAACTGGATGATGCTTACACTGAAATTCTTAGACGGTAAAGACATCAAAAAGCTTCTGTATCCTCGAAGCTGCCATCAGATTAGGTTGAAATGTCCACCTGCAACAGCAAATAGAACTTATGGGGAACATGGGGGTAAGAGAAAAGACCCAGGTGGCAGCTTTGCAATTAGGGGAAAATAAGTTGCTAGATGCAAAAAAAGCTTCACAGGTATAGCTTAGTGCGGTTTTATTTTCTTTCTTTTTTATTGAGACAGCCAAGGATACAAACGGTTAGGTTCGGATGATGGCCTGCCTTAGCTACCTAAAGATGGTGGGGATCAAACGTCAGAGCAGCCTTCCGAGCTCCATAAGTAAGGACGAAAAGATTATCAGTCTTTAAAAAGAAGCAAATAACAGACAGATGCTCACAGTCTCAAGCACATCCAGACAATGGAGGGAAATTTCCTTGAGGTGGACTGGAGCCTAACAGAAGGACTAAAGAACAAGGTTCTGGTTGAGGTGAAAGACAGAAACTACGTTAGCAAGAAGGAAGTCCTGAGCATCAACACCACTTTGTTCCTACACAAATCAGAAAGCATTCCTTGCAGGATAAAGACATCAATTCAGATACTCACCTAGCAGAAGTGATAACTACTAGTTATACCACCTCATGGGTGAGAGTATAAAAAAGGAATATTTCTAATGGTTTAAATGGTGGTTTTGGATTCCAGAAAAGCATGCCACATGAGCAAACTCAATTACAAGGAATGTAAGGCCAATGGACAAGAAAGTCAAAAGTTGGTCCAGATGCAGCTATAGGAATGTGGGGAAACATTCCACAGAGAAACCTCTGAGGTCAAAGCCTGAAGCCACACACGGAGTAAAGTATGCCTCCAATGATAGCTTCCTAGCTTTTAGCATCATAGAATAGGTATGCCTCTGTCCCTCAAAACCATGTCAATAAAGCCAGTGACCATGAAGCAGAATGTAAATCTGCCTCTGGGTCCGAAGATCCTGATGTTGTATTTGCCAGGAGTTTTACCAGGTTGGAGTACCACATCTACCTGAGCCATTCTGCAGCAAAGAATGCTCTCTATCTTGATCCTGCAAAGGAAACAAGCAAGGAGATTCAGGGAAGTAAAAACAGAGATAAGTCACTGCTTCAGCTAGCAAATCCCTGTACCTGGAGACAATATTTGTCCAGCTTGCTGCAGACACATAGGTATAGATATTTTGATGAGCCAAACCCCTGACATAGGACAAAAAACACCTCTGGGAACAGAAATGCTGGAGAAATTACATCCACTCTCCTGAGGATACATACAAAAAAACTGAGACATGATGATAATGGGCAGGGTTTTCCTGGCCTAGAAAAGTGTTTTTCGTTGCCAGTGTCCACATACTCCTGTAAGAGGCGGTATAACACAACAGTCTAAGAATTCCTATGTCCCACAATGGGTGGAAAGAAATACAGGAACATGCATACGCAATACAAAAATGTATTTAATAAAATCCTCAAATGTATCATTACAAATGAGAGGTCAGTAACCTGTTTATTCTCTTGCAATTGCAAGTCCTCTGTCAGGTAAAAACAGCTCACTGATGAAAACTGAGTATTAAACAAATCATATGTCTACATTAAACGAACATGTATACAAGGAAGGATGTTCTCCAAATACTGCTTATCATAAGATATATTAATTGTTTACGGGATATACCCACCATAAACTGCTATTTCTGTTTGGGTTTTAAAACACAAACTAGCTTTTTTTTAAATTTCTTCAGTAGTATATTTATCCCTGATCCTTCTCATGCTAATATTCACTTACGGAGCCTGTGTCCTTGTTGTATATTCTTTGAATTCACTGTCATGGATAGTGAAATATGGACGGAAGTCTGAACAAAACTTTAGAGGCGAAATGCATCTGGAAAACACAAAAACAGAGGAGATTTTTATTTCAGCATATTTAACTTTTAAACTGTATTAAATAAATGTATGGATACTTCAGTAAGGGTGTTAGACCTTTTTTTTTTGTCGTCTATGTCTCATAGGAGAGTTTTTCTATCACTTCCTGCATGATAGACAAAACAGGAACTAAAAAAAGTGTTTCTAAAGTGAGGGAGATTGCTTTTAGACAGTTATTTTGTACAGGCTAGTGTACCGCCCACATTCACTACAATTCCATGTGGATATTAGGAACTGTAGTTTCCTTTTACTGCAGAGAGGAGAGGAAATTATGTAATCCCTGCTATTACAGCTCCTCCTTCGCAGAGCAGATGCTGTTATATTTTGAATTACAGAGATGAGATAATTAAAACTCAATTGGACTTTGCTTCTAAATGGTAAGGATTTTCATAATATTATTAACAATTTGGAGTTTTGTGTAGGAGGGTGCACTAATGGTTGATTTTTTTTGGCTATCCTGGAGTACTTTTTTTAACCAATCATTTTTTGATAATTAATTCTTTATGGCCTGTGGAAGTGGGCATGGCAGTAGAGTGTATGTAGCCTATATATTTTGTTGGTAAAAGCTGTTCCTCTTTCTAAATTAAGAATATTAGAAGGCATGCCATAATACCAACATATGAGAGGCTGCCCCTACATCTACTTTATAGACAAACACAAATGTAAAAGTGCCACAAGTCAACTACTGTACAACCAAACCAAATTTTTTACTACTGTTCAGTTTAGTGCTGCTTCCCAGCTAAAGTTTCTTATTTAAGCAGCAGGCTATGGTTTCTAGAATCCATGCTACTCACAACATAATTGTTCCAAAGGAAGAACAAGCAGTTACCCAGTTAATGCCAGTACAATTTCAGAGGAAATGGTCGGAGAAGGTGCCATAACAACCAAAGGCTCTCCAAGTAAAACCAACTCCCATAGCAACTGGAGGTTCATCAGTACAGACTGAAGGGATCTAGAGATATTGGAAATAAACAGCTGTTTATATTTTAGGAACAGACAACATACATACATAGTACATATGCACAATGCCGCTAGAGTACCCAGCAGTGTGATCCATAAGCACTATGCACTGCCTGCCACATCTCCTCAGTCTCACAGCAGCTACAACTATGAGGAGAGGGGATCTGTGCGACAGTCACAGTTGAACACTGTTAAAAGAAAAAAAAAAAAAGGAAGAAGAAAAAAAAATAAAGCTTAAAAGTTATTACAAAAAATAAACATAAATAAATGTCTGGTTATATTACGTTAGCTAAAGTGGTAATAAACACCACTTGGTCGATGTACCTATAGGTAAGCTTATAATAAAGCTTACCTGTACGTACGAGATCTCCTAACTGCACACCGTTTAGGAGATACTCACAATTTCAGCAGCCAGCGCACGTGCACTGTGTTCTGAATTGATGGTACACTGAATGTGCTGTCAATCCAGAGTGCTGTGCGGCTGCAGTGACTCCCATGCGCAGGAGTAATATATAATTGCGGCTCAGCCTTTCAAACGAACCCAAAATGAAGACCGAGTGAAGATGGAAGCCCTTTCAGTGGTGACAGCACGCTGCTGGAGGGATCCCTTTTGCAGGCAAGTCTGTCATAATGTGTTAGTATGCAGTGCATACTAGCACATTTTGCCATTAACTTGCTGTGGATAGCTTTTTTTTTTTAAGAAGTTACTACCGCTTTAATAGATAAATGCTTTAATTAAAGAAGATGAATTTGTTATTTAGTATTAAGCCAATTAATCAAATTGATCAGAATCTGCGAATTACAGCCAATAGTACTGGAAAATTTATAATAACTAAAAATCTAAAATATAAGCCTATTATTCAGCAATTTAACACTGAAATATAAACCCAAACCTATGCATATATTTGGGGTCCCTGTATTTATGTTAAATAACAATATAATAATTTATAGAACATATTGGAAAAAGTATTAATTACTCAATGCATTTAAAAACTGCATTTTGTGGTATTTTTGTCTATTTCAAATGCTTTTCAAAAAATAAATATTCAAGGTGTTTCTAAAAACAAATTACCAAGATCACACAAGTAAAAATCACTTGGTAAGTAAATCAGTTAAAAAGTTATTTTTTTAATAAACTACAACATGCTAAAAATTTTAATTTTGATCTTGTTTGAAACGTTTCGATGACACATGGACAAGAAGTTAGGGCTCGTTCACACCATACACACAGAAAACTTGATGGAAAGAATGTGTAGATTTCACTTGTAGAATCAGTTTTCATGTGCATTTCAGTGAGTTTTATACATGTTGCAGATTCCTGCGCAGAAAAAAATTCTGCATGTGATACCAGTGTTGTGGTATGAACAGGGCACATACAGAACAATTCTTTTGTTTTTTGTGCCTTTGCAGAATGCATGCAGAAAAACTGACATCTCTGCACATGGTGTGAACAAGGCCTTAAATGACAAACCACGAATATCGGTTGGAAAAATCTCTTCACCCAGCCCCATGCTCAGGATCAGACCAGACTGTGTCCTACACACCTAGGGACCATTTTACTGTAAAATAAGGAGGACAGAACACTATTTATTCTTTGCAGGGCATCAGAGTAAATATTCCACACTGTACCTGCATTTTACATATCATTCACAAACTGCAGTGGGTGTTGTGGGAGTCTATGGTATCCTAAAGAATGTTCTTTGTTCAGTGGTAAGTGGAGAGTCCTATCACAAATCCTGTCAAAGTCATGTGACCACTTTAGTCCTGTCTACACTTTTTTAAAATATTAGAAAAGACTTGCTTTTACTTTTACTCCTGTTTTATTCATATTACTTGCATAGCTAAAGCTAATGTTTCCATTTTAGCTCACCTGAAAAGATCCAACTCATGGATACTGGAGAGGTGATAAGGAGGATCCAGGCGGTCCTGATCACAATACAAGATACAATCAGCAGAAACACAGGTATCTATCCATTTGTGCTCAAACATGAAATAAACTATAATATTTATATTATCTGTTTCTTTTGCTCAAATTAACAGGGTTTTTGGCTTGAAGAAGAAAAGGAAAACCAATGTTTTGTTATCTATGTCTATTGTCAATTACATCCGCCATGATCAGGGGTACGTAGGTTGCAATACCCCTTGCCTTGGCTGCAGTGCTACACAAACACTGCAGGAGAAAACAAGGAACAGATTTCCTCTGTGTCACAGCAGTCTGACATCTGCCATTCTCCCTTCAGAATCTCCATGATCATGATATGGCCATATTCAGATCTAGGTGCACTTATTATGTCAGGGTGGCCAGGACTGAAGAGAGTTTTTTGCAAAAACCAGTGTAGGCATCCATTGTGATATGAAAATAAACACCTGAGGAGGTAGGGGGGCTTGAGGATAAAAATGTTACTTTTTAAAAACGCAAAACCATCCTTTAAAACAGAATAAAAAAAACTGACCTAAAATCATTATAGCTTCTCAACAATTCGGGTATAGAGGTATAAAGGTCAATGATAATGGGACCTTTTTGATATGAAGACTCATTTCTGAATATTGTATGAATTTAAAGCTGAATTCCAGTTTTAAGGGGAGGGGGATGGGGAAAGGGGGGGGGGGGTCACCTTCTTAGCACAGGAGCCATTCAGAGAACCCCTTGTACTTTTTCTCAAGGAATACAAGGCAATCTCTGATTGCATGAGCTGGAGATTATGACCTTACCATGTTTCTCCAAATGCAAAGTGTTCTATGAGCAGCACCCCGGAAGACAGCATGGATCACTGTAGTAAGGATCAATGAAGTATGGAATATGCTTACTTACATTGGTCCAAGCTAAACCAAACTAACTATGCAAAAAAACATACCTGGAATTAAGCTTTAAAGTATAATTAAGGACAAAACTTTTTTTTTAGTTTTGTAAAGAGTGGAGCTGGATTAGAACACCTGTCAGGTTTGTATCGCTGTCTGTGTCCCTGATAGGTAGATTCAACCTGTCTATTTGTCCTGTTTACCAATACCATTAAAAGTGAAAATAAAAAAAAAAATCCCAAATTTTAAGTTGTCCCCAGAAAAGTAATAGACGGGAAATCTTCCAATAGGGACATAGGTTCGGGAGACCTGGGGGTCCCCAAGGAATTCCCTTAATTTGCAGGGATTTCCCCTCACTTCCTGTTTGACTATGGGACAGGAAGTCTCCGAAATGGGAAACAGATGGCGAAAAACAAAAATCTTGCAAAGGTTACAACCCTTCCTTCCTCTATTCGAACAGAAAAGAAAGGTTTTGCCTATAGTTCTACATTAAATACAAAGTGAAGATATTCTACATGTTTTCTTTATCAGCCCTTAGACATAAACTTCCTATACTGTTTCTGATAGGGCACCATGAGGGTTAATAGTACCAACTTGCACTAGTGCCTGTTGGTGGTGTATAGGCATTTTAAGACACTGAACAGCAGTACCTGTCTGCTCTTATATATAATTTTCTAACCTCTGTTGATTTGTTTTGGAATTGTTTTCAAAGTATTAGAATAATTATGAAATATGAAAACTTTGCTGTACAGAAAAAAATTGTGAAGTAGTACCAACATTATAGTATCTTGTATTTAAAAATATTTGCATATTATGTATAATCAGGCAAACTACATATTAGCGGCTTACAAGGAACAAGGATCACATACTTTGTGATGATCTGTAATAGCATTTGTCTCCATTAGATCATCATGGCTTGGAATTTTGACCTTGACAATACGAAAAACAAAAAACATAGGTTAATTGATTAGCATTTAACAATAATAAAATTTTAATTACTGTCTTATGCTAATCTTTTTTATATTTCTCATGCATACATTCGTATATACATGTACCCATGCTTGCTCTGCCTAAAAGTTTGGCTCAACTGATACAACATAACTGTACATTCTTATATGAATATCGCTCCTGACAGACCCAAAGTGGCAATCTAACCATGGAAGGCAGGATTTTATGAAAGTATCTGTGACAAGTGTTTTTTTTTATCAAATAGATATAACAAAAGGCTTTTAATAGTATATTTAACAGACCAAAAGAAAGCAAATAAAAGAAGTTAATTGTTCGGGCTTACACTTTAAAGGTAATAGCTAAACCATAATTGTGATTTGTCCTTAACGAAGGTACAATGAGATTATACTGTATAGGGACCTACATATGGATATAACTACTACTATCTCTGCTGCTACTGCTGGCATAATACCTGTAGAACAAGGCCCATGATTGGTAGAGACAGTGAAAGTCCTGGCTCTGGAAATGGCCAGCGGTCAATCTGGTTGCATACTGAAGGAGAAAAAAAAAAAAGATATAAAATGTAGTTTTACTTAACTTAAAATTGACATATGTAAAATGAGGGTAAAATCTACACTGCTGTATTCCTTATCATTGTTTTTTTAACTTAATGAGCCACTGACTTTGAACAAAGCATGCAGTCTGTAAAGTTGGAAAAATATGCATATGTCCCACTTCAGGGTATTTGAGGTAGCAAAGCAAACAAAACGAAGAAAGCTTGCAGCACCGTCAAAAACAAATCTAGCCACTGTTCCCATATTTCTGTCCTGAGAGCTTTCCTTTAGATTTTTACAAACTAGCCAGGAATTTTATGGTTGCTTTAATGGATAAAGAATGCAACCATCAATTAAACCCCAGCCCCATTTTCTCCTCCAGTTGATACAGTATTTAATTAGAACATTTGCTCTGTATAAGTGTCAAGGGGTTTAGAAGCACAATGAGAAGATACTGCAGAACAGTCTTAACTAAGTTTACACATCCTTAAAACTAAATGTCAGCAAATTGATGAGAAAAAAAAGCTCTGTAATGTGGAAATCAATCAAGAAAAATGGAAAGACTGTGGTTGTTTCACACAATATACTGGAACTAAGAGCAAATTTGAAGCCTAACTCCTTCAAAGATAAAGGTATTTTGTTATAAATGTTATGGACGAAATGGATTAGATAAAATTACATAAACTACACTACTGGATTAGTGGAAATGGATTAGTAAAATACACTACTACCTTACATTCAGCATAAGACATAATATGTACACTACATCATAAACCAATACGTACTCCTCCATTTCTGACACAAAATGAGGTCAAGACTTGTTTTCAGTGCTTCAGGTACACTTGCAGAAGGTTGGGAGTTGGGGTTAGATATGGATTAAGGGTTAGGTTCACGGTGGAAAGGGGTTAAGGTTAGGAGTTAGTATGTTAAAGTGGTTCTAAAAGTTGAATATTTTTTTACTTTCATGCATTCTAGGCATCTCTTTCTCCTCATTGGCTGAGACACAGCAGCGGGAGCAAGTGAGGAGGGAGTGTGGGGGGGGGGGCTGAGCCACGCTCTGTGTGTCCCATAAAATAATAAACACACAGAGGTGGCTGGGGAATGAGCATGTATGAGTGCCCCCAGAGCAAGCAGCTTGTTCTGGAGGGACTCAGCAGGGGAAGGGGCCAGAAGTGTCCACGTCGGACCTGAGAATAGGAGGCTTGAGGCTGCTCTGTGCAAAACAATTGCACAAAGCAGGTATGCATGATGTGTTTATTATTTTAAAGTAAAAAAAAAAAAGAACCTTTATAACCACTTTAAGCAATAGGATACATTTTAGGCTCATGTCACACTCACAATTCTGCTACACGTATCTGAAGAAATGGAGCAACATTTTGCTGGTTCAGCCAACAGTGAGCAACATTACAGGTGAAAGTCAGTTGAAATGTCACCAGTAATAAAATAACTATTATGCCATGGGCTCTGCAGTTAATTTTAGGTATTAGGAGAACAGTAAAGGTTAGGGTCAGAATAATGTACAGTATCAAAATTAGTCAAGCTTAACAGTAGGCGGGAGGTTAAGCAGTAAAAATATATGATGTTTAGGACGCCAGGGATAGGTCTTTGACGGGAGATATGTGTCCCAATTATTTGGGTTGTGGTCCCTTTAAGGGGGCAGAAAGGAAGCAGTTAAGAGTACTCAGGGATTGTCACCCCAGGGTGAGGGGTTCCTGGATGATTCAGCAAAAGGGGAAAATGACTTACAACCAGTTTGTTAAGTCCTGGTAGGGGACCCAAATTCAGAGCTTAGGAGAGATTTTAGGTGGGAAAGAGCCTTCCATCCTGATTATGGGTATTTTGATCCTGTGTGGGTTAACCCGCCTGCAGGAGAGGGATGAAAGGGCCAGGTGTCTGTGAGGTGCAGAGTGAAGCAGGGCAAAGCTGTGTGAGGACTGTGTACTATCTGTAACTGAGACATTGCTGAACTGTGGAGACCTCTTCTTTGGAACCCTTGGAGCAGGTGGGGTCATTAAACCCTGTATGGGAGATGTTTTATTTTGACGGTGAGGCAAAACCTCAGCCCAACACACACCAGCATTTCCCTCTCATCACAAAAAGCCAACATACCATGAAAATATTGTTCATTCAGATTCTTACCAGCTTCAAGACATGGTTCCAGTTTGTTAAAGTATTCAGGTGCAATCAGCTGCAGAAGTGTGTGGAACAGATTGGTATATGGCAGACTTGAAAGAAGAACTAAAGACTGAAAAGGGAAAATAGTCACATATCTGTACAGAAATTAACCAATGTAACAATATAGTGCAAGGAACATGGGGTGAAGTACTGCGTAGCATTCACAGGTCAGTGTTTACTAGCTTGCTGGAAAGTGTCATATGCTGCTGAGAAGTAGAATGCAGAACAAATGAAAAAGTAGAGGAACGAAGTCTAGCATGAGTGTCATGACCCAACACTGAAAATGGCAAACACCCTGTACTTTTGATTCTTGACTCTTCAGTAACACTCTAGTTAAAATTAGTATTGGAATTACAATCAGGCTGAGTCTACCTTTTAAACTTTTAATTGAATTGACCTTTCCTATGCTCCTAAATCATCAATCATTTGATATGCCACACATGACATAATACCATTATAAGCAATCAAAAAATTTCCAACCAGCCTAATCATTTCATCTTCTATTCCACCTACAAAACTGAATGAAAATGACCAAGAAATGCCTACACATAGGATTTCTGAGGATCTGATTGGAATGTGGGATTGCTAATAACATAATACAGTTATAAATATTGTATAACTGTATTATTTCAGTCATGTATATTACAATATGTATTCTACCTGCGTACACCTTTGCAGATGCAAATGTGTGTTGTAGCCTCCCCCCACCCAGGTCTAAGAACCAAGCAACAGGACCACATTTGAGTCTGACAAGCCTAATGTGGTGGTTACAAAGGATGGTTAAAAAAATTTAAAAAAAACAGGGGGCGTGGCTGATGACGGAGGGCTGAAGATGTGCACCGCTGAGCTCTGTGCTCTCCCAACTCATACAGGCTGTTTTACAGCTCATCTACACCCACGATTCACATATTGGCACACAGCTCTCATCCTGCTAACTCCGCTGAGCCTCAACAGGGCTCTATACAGTGCTACCTGCTCCGCCAAAGACAAGATGACGGACTCCGGGAAAACCTAGGCCTTCCTCCTCTGCCCTTGTGGCCATTCCTGTGGGCCTGGACACCGCTACTGAGTTCCTGTCTACTAACTCAGAGGCACCCACTCCTTCAGCCATGACAACTCTGCTCCCTCCCGGTATCACAAGGAATGGCTTATCTGCTACAACACTCCCAGTCTCAGGGGGATCTTCTAGCTTGAACACAGCAGCCCTTCTTTTTGCTTTCGAGGCAGACTTTGAATCATGGGCATTGAAAATGGAATCCCACCTCCACAGGGACCTTCAACATACTATCCCTCTTTTGAATTTAAACTAGTAACCAGATGGTACAGATGCCCGTCAGTTTTCCATTGGCTTAACCCCTCCATGCCTGGCCTCCAAGGGTACTATGCTACACATTTGGTGGGAATGTACCCCCCATTGGGAGATTCTGGCAACACATTTTTTATTTACACTGTAAACTGATGGACACTTCCATTCACCCCTCTCCTGAAGTAGCACTTCTTTCCTTACTGCCTGGACCCTTTAAATCCGTAAAAAAAGATGTTCTGAGACAATTTGAGGTTGCAGCCAGGGTGGTCATCCCCCCACCATTGGAAGGCGAACGCCATGCCTTTCCTAGGGGAATGGGCCAATGAGTTGGATTTTGTAAGAGACCTTCAACACCTCTTGGCGCAGGAAGCAGGAAAAGAGGACCAACTTTCACTTATCTGGACCTCATGGTTCATGTTTCGTTACTCATCCACATTTCTAGCATGGGCTGAAAATGACACTGATCCCATCCCTGAGTAGCTGTGGCGGAGTGTATATTTACTCTAATCCTACCCTCCTAACCTGACCTATACATCCCTACCTCTTTCCTACTCTATGCTATTTACTTGAGATTTTAATCTACCCATCACATCAAGCATCACCACCATATAATCCAATTTGTTATCCCCTCAACATTACTTTCTGTATGTAAAACAGAAAACACAATTTTCATATATACAATTGATGCCAAAGATAGTGCTAAGCATCCCTTCCTTTGCCTGCCTGTTATCTTTTCTATGTAAAATGACCGAAATGTAACGTGACTTTACTAGAGTGACTGAACAAAAACAAATAAAAACAACATCTAGGGAGTTAAAGGTTTGGGGGCAAAAAAACATTGTTGAGTGAGGTCAGAAGGGAACATCCAGACTGAAAGAGCTAAAATTGTTCAATTAACCACTATCTACAGGGGGGCCTTTCCAAATACACACTGAACCTTAGATGTACATGTTGTACTACAGCGGAAGAAGCAGATTCCATTCCTAGTAGCTAGAGACAGGAAAAGAGGCATACAGTGGGATCAACAAACAAATGAAGACTGTAAGAATTAGCCTTATTTGACAAATTTCAATTTCTGATGGGAAAACAGATCACGGCACACACTGCTTTATTTACAACTGTTCAGGGTGGTGGAGGTGACGTGGACTGCTTTTCTTTGCATGCATCAGGCCTCTTATTACCAACTGAGCATTATTTGTAAGATAGAGGGTAGTGAGTATTGAGAGATAAATATAAAAAAATGCAGCGCTGTATAAAATTGGGGGGGGGGGGGGGGGGGGGGGGGGGGCTCGTAACAAACGAGGGAGGTGCCCAGCTGGTGACAGCACGCCACTCAGGCCACGTGGAAGGCCGGCGACCATTTTGGATTCTGTCAGTTTATGCCAGATGTGAGTGCATGCATACTTTATGTATTTATCCATTCCCTGAATAAAAATACTGCACAATTAGAAGTTTCTTCTCTGGCTTGTTTGTTACGAGCTCCCCCCCCCCCCCCCCAGGTGGATCCCTGTTACTTCTGACTTACCTTCATGAGTGGTTCCCCCTGCTAGATGGATGCTTGTACCTGGAGCCTGGAGAGTGACACTGTGTGTTACCTGTCTTGCTGAGGTTTTGCCAGATGACTCCCTGAGTTCCCTTTCCAGATCCAGATGACCAGAAGTTGGTCTGAATTACTCAAATGCGTATGACATTGCGCTTTCTGGTTAGTGCAATATACATTCATTTACAGCCACTGGAATCACAGAGAATCACCTGATGATATATTACTGAACTTGGAATTATTATATTTACCTTTGTATCACTTGTGCACTTTAAACGTCACACCAGGATGTTATTCACACTATCGATTATAGCAATCCTCCACAGCGCATATTATTGCTATTATACCATACATGCAGTTGACTTGATTGATTTATCCATATTTTATACAGCGCTGCATTTTTTATATTTATTGATCTATGAGAAGGATTTTGAGGTTTTACTTTTAAGCTAGCTGCTCAATATTTTTACCTAGCACTCGTTTGATACGTTTTATTAAGTATTGAGAGATACACTGTATATAGAAAAGGACAGATGAGATGTATCTTTTTACTTGTATGTAATTTATTTAAAACAAATGTATCTTTTTCAAATTATCCATATGGTGTTTCTGAAACAAAGTCTTTATTTATAAATACATACTTTTATTTAAAACCACATTCATCCTGCATTTTAATTTTGCATCAAAATAAAGGCAATTAGCAGCAGCCGACATCTGTTGCAGTTAAAGCAAAACAAGGATTCAAGTGCACTGAAGAGAAACGCCAAGAAATATCTCAGACAGAAGATTTTAATGGTTCATTCATATTACTTCGGAGACATTTTCTAAAAATAATGCAGAGAATGGAGGAGGTAAAAGAAATGTCAGCTGTAAACTAAATGTATCTATTTTTGATTGATTTGGAAAGCCTAGTTAAGTTAATAGACCACTTCCAAGTTTGTCCTCATGCATAACAATGTATAGTGTATGCCAGTAAGTCATCCAAGCATGACACAAAATAACTGAAGGTAATTAGCCTTCACAATCTAGATTTCACACAACCCAGGATTCACACATTTCTTGGATGAAAGCTTTGTGAATCTTGTGTAAAAACATTTATAAAAAGGACTTTAGTCTTAGTGTAGACAGCCTTACATTAAAGTGTTATAAAAACCCCAGACCCTGCATTCACTATATCTGTTCTCCCACAGTACACATAACATGGAAATACAATTATTTTAGTAAATATAAACTGCTAAACACCTTTTCTCACCGGTAGTTAGAGCAGTCTTGTGACATGTATTAGTGTCCAGCAGAGCACGTTAAAGTTTGTAGGAGGAGTATTCATTTTGCTCTAGGAGGATGCAGAACCCCTGATTTCTGTCTGGACTGTGCTGATTGGCCCCAATGCCGATCACATGCACTCTCTCAAGATAGAAAAAAAAAAAAAAAACACCCCTCTAGCAATACACACCATAAAGAGCATGTGCAGAGTGACTCCACACAATAATTTTTTACTTATTTACAATGTGCCTGTACACACGTGTGTAAACAAGTACTGCATATTCTTGAGTAAACAAAAATAGAAAAATCTGTGTTCCCGGGCAGTATTTTTCAGGTACACACAGATGCACACATATGAGCATAAATATTAATGGATTTTACCTAGGAATGTACTGTGAGCACAAGTACACGCATAAATACACGCAACACAAACGCCTGAAATTACGTCCAGAAATGCTGATGCAAACATTAGTACCGAGTGCAAGAAGCCTTTCTGTACAGCATTTGTGTACAAGACTTTCTCAGAAACCTAATCCTCTGCTTGTTCTTACTATTTTTCTCAGAGTTCTGCAGAGCAGTGGAAGCCAAATTACAGGCATCCCCTGCATCAGCTGAATTTGTGTTGATATGCTTTCTGAAACTACCAGCTAAAGAGCTGCAAATGGTGCTGCTTTTCTCAAGTTATGTCGATAGATCGTCCTGTTACCCCCATCAGTTTGAGAAAAGACAAACATCAGTGTCTTCAGAACAAAAAAAGCTAAGAATCTGAAAAAAGGCTTGTTAAAAATCCTTGCAATGTATATAGTTTACTGGGAACAGACTGTTTTCCTAACAAATCTGAAATTTCAACTTTAAAGTCTATTGTAAACACTTACCTTTTGGAAGTAACCTCTTTTCACAGAGCTGTCTCTCACTTGTCTGAAGTATACATATCCATAGTAATGGGCAGGATCTCTCTAACAGAATATAAAAAACATATTACTATATAAGTTCAATAAAGATTTAGACATAAGCCAGCCACACAAGATACAACCTGATTTTGCAAACCCTGTGCAGTCTCCCATTGATTCACCAACAACAAAAGAGTGGAGGGAGGAGCTACCTAAACAATCAATTTATATTGCTTATATTAGTCAGGGAGACCCTTGCACTACATAGTTGTGATTGTTAACTGATTCCCATCTGGACTATTGTCAAGTGAGGGCTGAGCATGAGCTCTCCCATGCTATGTGGATGTCATATGACATCCTCCCAGTCACAGGCTGCACTGCAACATGATCTGTCATCCGTTGTGTCCGGTGGACACAGCAGAAGACAGATCGTTGTACTGGGCCAGTCTGGGCATTATGTGATTGCTGTCACCAACCACAGCGATCCCATGGAAGTAGTATACAATGAATAGCTTTCATTTATAGCTATTCATTGTGTATTACTGCAAAAGGAACTCTGTGATTGGTCACAGTGACCACATGGTACAGACAGGGCCAACCAGTCCATATGCACCATGTGATAGCTGTGACCAATCATAGCTAATCACAATAATACTCAGTGAATGCCTGTGAATGAATGAATTCCATTCATAAAAATGTTTTCTTATAACAGTGATCATGTAAAAGAAAAACAAAAATCTGATCACCTCCCCAGAGTAGTACACTATCATTATGGTAATTCTGTACTGCTCTGGTCATAGTATGTTAAAAAAAAAAAAGTTAAAAAATTAAAAATATATACATATTTTTTACTGAGTGTCACCAGTCAGTATCCCTAACCACCACCACACCACTCATATGATGACTCTGTACTGCTCTGGTGACATGTAAAAAGTATGTGACAGTATGGGAGAAAAAAAAATTATTTAATTTCCTAATCTTCTAAAAAAATGTTTAAAAAACTTAACATGCCTCTTAATAAATACCTCAGACTGTCTACTTTTACAGTACTTCTTTGAATTCTGAGACACCTATTCAATATGCACTGTGAGTTGGCACTGCTGTGTCATACATTTCACAATGCCTGCTTCTGAACTACAGAGGTGCTGAGAGCAGGAGTTTCAGGAGGCTGAGTTAGTATAGAAACTTCTGCTTGCAGGCAGCAGGGTACCATGGGATATGTCATTCTAGGAAACTGAAAGTAGACAGCAGAGGAGCATGAAGGTATCCACATTATGGCATAAAGCTGCAGGGAGACCAATTCACTTTTTTTTTTAACAGATTAATATCACTTTCAAAAATTAAAGTGTATGCTGTGACAATAGAGCTTCTTTAAGATTCATATTAAGTTCAACAGTCCATTAAATACAAATTATGTATTATTGTGCACAAGCGCCATGATATCTTGGTTATCGAAGCCTATATCACATAACTGCTTTTAAATATGTCTATTTATTATGTATGCAGATTAATATTAATCAGGATTACAAAAATCAAAGTGGATAAATATCCCGTATATTTTGACTGAACAGATATTTAAGTAGGAATGAGAAAAACCATTTTTGTGCCATTCATATGTCTTGAGATTTATTTGAACTCTGAATACGATACTTATTGTATATTGGGTGCAGGGCCTGTGAAGGTTTTATAAATGCATACAATTAATAATGGTACGTATAATCTTTTATCCCACCATACTTTTTTGCTGGGTTGTTCTTTATAAACACACTCATGCCCACTGAATCCAGCAATGTTCTGCAGCAACCCGAAATTTTACTACTGTACTCCAGGTTCCATGCCGCCATCAGCTTCTTGAAGTTATCTCAGAGCCAACTCTCCCTGGTTTTAAAGCCAGCACCTGATGAGGCACCAGTGTGTGTACTGTCAGGGAGCTGGGTTTAACAATCAGGAGGATAGTGTGTTGTCCTCCCAAAGATGCGCTGCAGTGAATGTGCAGGACACTGCACGCAAAATCTCCTGGGATGCTGTCCCAGGAGGCAACAAGCAGGTTGGGGACACTATTCTCAAGTAGGCGAGAAACCTGGAAGTGTGGGCCAGGTTATGCAAAAACAGTATTTAAAGTAAAATAAAAAAATATTTCAATATACAATTATGGAAAAGGAGGAAAATTATGCAAAGAAGGTCCCTTACTCTATCCAAATTGAAAAGAACAAGTTTTTGCCTTTATTTCTACTGTAAAAAGTTTCGATAATATACTGAACACAGCCTGCGTTTGAACTCACCTGTAATGTAACAGGAGCTCCTCTATTGTACTTTTCATCGCCTTGAAATAGGCTTCTCTGGCCTGCAGAGCGACGCATTCGAAACGTGAACTGTGTGTCACCCAGACACCCTTCAAAACAAAGATGCAATATTAGATGCTTCAAATACAAATCTGGTTGACTAATTAACATATCAGGCTTCTTCTCAATTCCAGGTCTGGACCTGGCCTGGATTTAAGTGAGATTATTCACACAATACTGCATGCAGATAAACATAGGACAACTCTTAAAAACTTAACAAATTTAATACATGCAAAATGACCCGATCCAGTTAAAAATAAACAGACCATCTCATGTCTAAAGCCTAGTACACACTATTAGTTTTTTTTTTTTTCGTTCAACCCAGCAAGCTGAACGAAAAAAAAGACCAGCAGCTCAGGAGGAGCCACTGTACTAACTATCTGATGTTAGTACATCGATCTCCCCTGCTGTGCTATTGTTTTCTAATAGGGGGAATGGCCCCCAGCCAGAACACTCTAGTCAGCGCTGATCCATCTGCTGAGAACGCTGATCGGGAGCCGATCAGCAAACCTTTTTCGGTCATGCCCGTTCAACAGAAGCTGGTCGAATGTCAGACCTGCTGCCATGCACATGGGCTGAATGTCGGTGGGTCTCTGTTAATCTGGCTGATGCCACTCGACATTAGGCCCGTATGTACTAGGCTTAAGAGTCGCTCCGCCAAATCCACTGTACAGCTAATCAGGAACCTGAGCCTACATACAGTATATGTGATAAGTGTATTTGGCTGACCCCATTTACAGATATAACTACAAACCAAGCAAAGAAAAAAGTTTTTCATACATTTGTAACATAATTTGCTATAGATGTATCACTTTCACAATAATTTGAATAAAAAAAAATATATATATATATATATATATATACATACACACATACATACACATTAGAAGGTTGCTGACTCATCACAGGTGCCATTCAGAGAATGTTTTGCATTTTCTGAATAAATGTAAAGCATTCTCTTATTGGATGAGGTGGAGAGCCTGATGTCCCTGCCCTGCCTCTCCACCTCATCCAATCACAGAACATATTCTCTGAATGAGCATCTGTTCACATTGCAGAATAACCACTCAACATGGGACCTGAAAGCAGTAGAGATCACTGAAGTAACAGTGTCCAGTTCTTTGATTTCCAGCTTCCATAGGCATTAGCCAGGTATGGTATATACATAGGAACATTGGTCCAAGCTGGAATGTTTCTTTTTCCATTGCAGCACTGCAAGTTCAGAGACAGTGCTGATTCACACGTGCGGTGCAGATTGAAGCTTAGGTTTCACAGATAATTGATACAGTAGTTGTTCAGTGGTTCAGTTCAGGTTTACATCAGGGTCAGGACAAGTTCAGGTCAGTATTTTACCCTGTTCACACATGTGCGGTTTAGAAACAGTTCCCATAGAAGACAGCCCGTAATCTGCACCTGAACCAGACCACACTTCTCAGAAGTCGGACAGGACTCTTCTTCAATCCGCACAGAATCCGTACTGCCAGTTTATCGGACATATGTGAACAGGCACCATAGGAGGCAATAGTATTTCATATGTCATGCAGACTGGATGTGGTTGAAAACCGCAGACAATGCGCATATGTGTGAACTGGCACACAGGAAGAGGACAGGCAACCTTGCAGTAAAGACTTCCCCAGGATCCAGCTGCCAGCACAACATGGGACATACTTCATTACAGGTAAGTGATGTGAATAAAGCTGTACAGATTTTTAAAGTGAAACTTCAAGAGAGTTATGATGGCCCTGCTCATAAGAGCTTATTATCTAAACGCCTTCTGGCTATATTTGTTTTACTTTGAACCAATAGCTCACTTTCATGTCACCTGTGCAAAAAGGTTTACACTGTATAGCTCATATTCATGTCACCTGTGCAAAAAGTTTACCCTGTATATGTGGTGCAAAACACAAAAAAACCTGTTAGCAGTACCCGTGGTAAATAAATCTTGTTTTGTGTTTCATATTCATCATACAGTATTCCAGGGTATTAAAAACCTCTGCAGTGCTAAATGTTCCTTTACATATTATCTGCCTACCTGAATAGGAGTCTGGAAAGGACAGGTAGCAAATACTAGTTTTCTGCAAGAAAGGAAACAAAGTAGAAAGAAAGAGGAAATGTGAGCTTCTAATTATGAAGCATGGAGAGATACCTGGACAATACAGCTTTAACTACTCACTATAAAGAAAGAAATACTGCATGTTTACTATGTTATTTCCGGTAACAAAAATACTAATCTCACCAAACACCTTACAATCGGATTGTACAATCACTTTTAGATCTACCAATAAGTATGCATTGCAAGGGCCTGCTTAGCCATTTCCTGTGCAGCGACACACAAGTACGTTGCTGGTCTTTCGGTAATTATACTGGAGTGATGCCTGCTGCTGCAGACCCTTGGGCTCTCCCATCCCTGGAGACCTGAGAGACCAGTCAGCGCATCCGCCGGCTGGCCGAACAAAGCCAGGATTGGCTTTGATCAGCTCTCCATTACAGAAAACCGGAAATGATGACCTGACATCACTTCTGATTTACTCAGAAGTAAACAGCGCCATTTTTAAGTGCAGGAGGGATTTGGGGTCTTATAGGCACCAGACCTCTCCCCTAAAGAGTACCTGTCACATGCCTATTGCTGTCACAAGAATATTTACATTCCTTGTGACAGCATTAACATAAGAAAAAAAAAAGATTAAAGAAACAGTATAAAAATAAAAAAATAAATTAATAACTGAAGAAAACAAAAAAAAATGTAAGCGTCCCCATCCTCCCGTTCAAAGGTGAATGCGCACATCCCGCACACACACGCAAACAGCAATAGACCCACACATGAGGTATCATCACGAACGTCAGATCATGGGCAGTAATTTTAGCTCCAGACCTCTGTAAATCTAAAGTGTAACCTGTACAGGCTTTGAAAGCGTCACCTATGGATAGTAAAATTTACATCGTTTGTCACCATTGTACGGGCATGTGCAATTTTAAAGCGTGACATGTTTGGTATCTATTTACTCTGTGTAACATCATCTTTTATATATTTTTACAAAAAAATAGGGTATATTCTGTTTTTAGCAATAAGATTCAAAAAAGTTTATTTTTTTTCCCATAAAACTGCATTTGAAAAACCGCTGAGCAAATACCGTGTGACATAAAAATTAAAAAACCAACCAATTTATTCTCTAGGGCCTCTGCTTTAAAAAAATATATAATGCTTGGGGGTTCTAAGTAATTTTCTAGCAAAAAAGCCTAATCGTTATATGTGAACAAAAAGTGGCAGAAATGGGTCAGACTGGCAGTAGTTAATTGGATAGATTAGGTCGATCCTCATATTACATTTTCTTTGGTAAATGTAGAGTTAATTGTACAAAGATTGTATGGTTGATTGTACTGTTTTGCATTGCCTGTTCACCGGATTAAGCTTAAAACACATATTCACACGTCCACTGAATTTAGCATTTGTCGTGCTGTAATGAAACCATTGCACTATGGTTCCCGCACGCTGTGTTCTTTCCTTACTATGGAGAGACAGCCCTCTCTCCAACAGACCAGCAACCACAAGTTCCCGATGACACCTTCTGGTTGCTGGGTCTTCGGCCAGCTTGGTTGGCTGACGAGGTATTTTGTAACTCCTTCACATATGCAGGAGTTCAGACTTCCTAGCACAAGTACTGCCCCAGAATGTAAAGTGACCTTTACATGTGCAGCTCAGTGTACATTTTAAAGTGGACTACAAGTGACTAGGTAAGATTTTTTTTTGCTGCAGCAATGATCGAGACACCATTCTTTAGGGCGAGTAAAAGTAATCCAAATGGCTAAGGAGCCACCGTATTGCTTCCTGCCCTCCCTCCATCACCTTTACCAGGCTTTCCCTTGCAATCAGGGGACTTAGTAAGGATGCGACCAGCAGCATCTGGCTCTGAGCACGCAGTGATAGGAACTGATGATGTTCCTCCCACTGTGTGACTTTAAAAACTGGAAGTATTGAGGATTTCCTCACTTCCGGTCTCCAGTTTACTGGCTTGGAAAAGCTTCAGATCGATTTGATCCAGGTTTGAACTGAAGCTTTCAAGGGCAGAGGAGACATCTGGGGTCTAACAGACCCCAGATGTCTCAATAAAGAGGACCTGTTAATGCTTATTGTTATAAAAAAAGTGATATTTACATTCTTATGATAGCAATAAAAGTGATAAAAATTAAAGAGGCAGTGTAAAAATAAACAAAATAGTAAAAAAAAATAAAATAGTAAAAAAGAAAAAAAATGTTTTTTAAAAGTGCCCCCCAATCCACTGTGCTCAAGCATAATGGTGCATGCATGTGTCGGTCCTCAATGCATATGTAAACTGCTATTGCACCCCTATGTGAGGTATCCCCACAAATGTCAGAGTAAGAGCAATCATTCTAGCACCAGACCTCCGGTGTTACTCTAAACTGGTAACCTGTAAAGGCTTTTAAAGCGTCGCCCATGGAGATTTTAAGCTACCGTAGCTGTTTCACGGGTGGAATTTTAAAGTGCAACATATTAGGTATCTATTTACTCGGCACAACATCATCTTTTATATTCTACCTGTGCAAATACTGTGTAAGGTCAACAAAATTGCAAAACCCACCACCCACCATTTTATTACTGCTTAAAATTTTTATATATATATATATATATATATATATATATATATATATATATGTTTGGGGGTTCTAAACAGTTTTCTAGCAAAACAAATGATGATTTTAGATATAGGAAGAGAATGTCAGAACTGACCCGGACTGGAAGTGGTTAAGTAAAGAATGAAAAAGTGCTAGAAGGTAGAGAGCGATCCTACCATGCTGATGTGATGTGCTGACAATGCTGTACCTACTGGATAGGAAGACATTAATATTTGTGGGTGTTATGGGGGGGGCACAGGTTACCTCTTTCTCAGTGATCCGGGTGTTATGTGGGTACACCAGCTGTAAAGAAGAGAGGACATTGTTATTGTTGAGGAGACAGTCTGCTGATGCCCAGATTCCCCCCCCCAGGTAAGGACATTGGGGTGCTGCCCCTCCCCCTCTGATCTGTCATCACACTGTCCCCTCTATGTGAGCTCCTCTCTCACATCTCCTCCGGCCCAGTACCTGTCCTCAGCCTGCCTCTCCCATACAATGACCGGCTCTCCTCTCTTCCACATACTGTGTCCTCACCTCCATCGCCTGACCTAGCTCCAGGTCGAAGGTGACCACGCACACCCCGTCCAGCCAGGCTGAGAAACACTCCCATGGCAGTCGGCCGCCTCTCGGACTCTCCGGGTGTTCCATCTCTCTCTCCTTCCCGGCCCACTCACTGCTCAGCATCCTCCTTCCCGGGTTACCATAGACACTGGATCCGCCCTGTGTCTGCGGACTGTCCTGCCGCTTTCTGCCGTTAGGTGGCGCTCTTGTCACACAGGCGCTGCTACCATGAAGAAGAGCAGCGCTCCCGGCGGACAGTGGAGTCCCTGCACCGTACAGGGAGTGTAGTGTATACAGTGTGGGAATCCGACTGTAGTTTTGGACAGATCAGGCTTTTCCTAGCACTTTCTGTTCACATGTAACAATCAGTATGTTTGGTAGAAAACCTCTTAGAACCCCCAAACTATATATATATATATATATATATATATATATATATATATATATGTATATAAAAGCAGAGGCCCTCGAGAGGACATTAGTGGGTCTTGCTTCTTTTTTTTTGTCACGTAGTGTTTGCACAGTTTTTCAAATGCATTTTTGGGGGGGGGGGGGGAAAGTATTTTTTTTATTTTATTGCAAGAAAACACAAAACATAACCCTATTTACGCCGAGAAAATACATACCAAACATGTCACACTTTAAAATTCTACTATACATTTTTGAGGGGCGGTTCACACTATAGAAACGCAGTCTGAAAGCATTCTGGATACATTTCTGCATGAGCGTTTTTGACGCTTTCCGGTGAGTTTTTGATGCTTCTGGTTCATTTTTTCCCCTCTCTTTTTCTTCAATTTAAATAGGGACATGTGCATTCCAGTACGTTTTTGTGCGTTCCGGTGCATTTTACCCAGTTCCAGTATAGTTCTGTTCAGAAAAATTGCAGCCTGTTCTACTTTTTTTTCTGCAACTGGAACTGCAAGCACTGATGTGAACTATGACACTGACAACCATATAACCTACTTTGTGCGTTTTGGATGCAGAAAAAAAAGCGCACTGAAACACATGTATGTAAAAGTGGCCCTACAAGTCTTTATAGGTTAATACTTCAGGTCTGGTGCTAGAATTACCACATGATCTGATGTTTGCGGTGATACCTCACATGTGTGGGACAATCGCTGTTTGTGTGCTTGCAGGACTGACTGCATTCACCTTTGTGCACAAGCACGGATGCACCTCTTTTAAAATAATTTATTTCGCTTTTTTATTTTTACATTGTTGCTTTAAAAACCTTTTTTATCACTATAATTGCTGTCAAAAGGAATGTAAACATCCCTTGTGACAGCAATAGGTATGTGACAGGTACTCTTTATGGAGAGATCTCAATAAGACCCCAAATACCTCCTCTGCTCCTAAAAGCATTTATTCACATCAAGATCGGTGTGATTAAATACTTTTCTTTTTTAAAAATGCAGCCATTTGTAGCCTAGTAAACCGGAAGTGATGTAAGGTCATCACTTCGGGGTTACTACATCATAGAGCCCAATAAAGCCGGAGCGGTCTTTGTTGAACTCTATGATCAACTGGCAGAAGAGCTGGTAGGTTGATCGGGACTCCTGGTGAGGCGGATGATCCCTGTAAAGCCGTACAAGCCTCTGCTTGTAATAGCAATCGAGCAGCTAGTTAGCCGCTCCCAGGGGCGGACTGACAACTCATGGGGCCCCCGGGCAATAGGGGATTTTGGGGCCCCCCTGTCCTTGCCCACACCCAAAAAAGCCTATGAAAAAGCCAATGAAAGGTACCAGGGGCATCTCATGGGGCAAAACAAACATACTTACAAACATAGCAAATGTGTAAAGCCTGTAAGACCATGGAGATGGCCACACAAATGGCAGAGTGTCCGACTGATGGTGCAGTTGGCCTTTAACGCGTTTCGGGGATGAATCCCTTTCCTCAGAGCTTTTGCTGGAAAGGGATCTGAGGAAAGGGATTTGTCCCCGAAACACGTTAGAGGCCAACCACACCATCACACATTCGTGTGGCCATCTCCATGGTCTTACAGGCTTTAAACACATGCTATGTTTGTGAGCATGTTTTTCATCCTTTTACACATTTTTAACCACTTGAGCTCCAGAGGATTTACCCCCCTTAATGACCAGGCCTCTTTTTGCTACTCGGCGCTGCACTAATTCAACTGATAATTGCGCGGTCATGCAATGCTGCACCCAAACGAAATTTACGTCCTTTTTTTTTCACACAAATAGAGCTTTCTTTCGGTGTAATTTGATCACCTGTGTGCTTTTTATTTTTCACGCTATAAACAAAAAAAGGCCAAAAAGTTTGAAGAAAAAACAATATTTTTTACTTTCAGCTATAAAAAATATATAGTAAACTCAAAGTTGGTTATAAATTTAGGCCAAAATGTATTCTGCTACATGTTTTTGGTAAAAAAAATCCCAATAAGTGTATATTGATTGCTTTGTGTGGAAGTTATAGCGTCTACAAACTATGGTATAAATACTGCAATTTACGCCATTTTTTCTGCTATAGAGCGCTGCGCTAGTTTAACGGACAATTGCACGGTCATGCAATACGGTACATAAATGAAATTTACATCCTTTTTTTCCCCCACAAATTGAGCTTTCTTTCGGTGGTATTTGATCGCCTGTGTGGTTTTTATTTTTTGCGCTATAAAAAAAAAAGGCTGACAATTTTGAGGAAAAAAAAAAAACATATTTTGGACTTTTTGCTATAAAACATGTCCAGTAAAAAAAAAAATGCAAAAATCAAATTTAGTCATAAATTTATGCCAAAATGCATTCTGCAACATGTCTTTGCTAAAAAAAAAAAACCCAATACACGTAAATTAATTGGTTTACGTGAAAGTTATAGCGTTTACAAAATGGCGGGAAAGATACTGGGATTTTTAGGTTTTTTTTTTATACTAATAATGGCGGCGATCAGTGAATTATGGTGGCGATCTGGGACTTATGGCAGCGACCAGCGACTTATGGCGGGACTGCGGTACTGCGGCGGACATTCTGACATTGGGAGGTACTGACTTGGGGTCACTGACATCCCCAAAAACACTAATACAGTGATCAGTGCAAAAAAAAAAAAACCACTGACACTGTACTAATAGCAATGGGGTGGAAGGGGTTAACTTTATTTTGAAGGGAAGGGTTATAGGAGTGAGGGGAGTGTTTTACTAGGGGATGGGGGTGTGTGCTGCTGACGGGACAAGGCTGATCGAGAAAGAGAAACTGTTCTTTCTCGATCAGCTCATTCTCGAGCTGACAGGGAAGTGACAGACAGCACAGCTACTGCAGTTGTGCTCTCTGTCACTGTTTGCCGCCGATCACCGGGACATAGCTGCTAAGGAGTGGCTGTGACCCAGCGACTGACATCTGCGGCGGTGATCCGCGGGACAGATAGGGCGGCGGCGCGCCTCGCGCTCGCCCCCTATTTGTTTACAGAACACACGTTTTAAAACGTGGTTTTGCCTGCGAGTGCCGCCGTATATGTACAGTGGCTGGGCGGCATGTAGTTAAATAAACCTTGGATAATGCACTAGGTGTTTGCACCACCTGTATGCTTTTTTCTAGTTGTTGCTTTCCCCATCTGAGCAGGGCTGCATCTCCAGAACACTATCCATTGGCTATTCATGCTTTTGTTCCCCTGGCGTTGGTTCCCTCAAGGCCCTGGAGAGTATACACATTTGTCCGTTTAGGTTTCATTCTTCCATTAAAGAGACTTGTTTCAGTGATAACAGTCTATGAGGGTACTTCATTCACCTTAAAGCGGAACTAAAGTCTCCATTCTTGCTTGCCCAACAGTCTTGCCCCGGCATCACACATTTCTGTCTGCGTATCTGGAACCTGAGAAAAGTGCACTACGAACGCTTAACCACTTAAGCGCCGAAAGGTTTTACCCCCTTCAAGATCCAGGACAATTTTTGCTATTCGGCTCTACGCTACCTTGACTGCTAATTGCGTAGTAATGCATCACTGTACCCAAAATATTTATTTATTATTATTACAGATACTTATATAGCGCCATCAATTTACGCAGCGCTTTACATATATATTGTACATTCACATCAGTCCCTAACCCTCAAGGGGTGTACAATCTACGGTCCCTAACTCACATTCATACATACACATACTAGGGCCAATTTAGACAGGATCCAATTAACCTACCAGCATGTCTTTGGTGTGTGGGAGGAAACCAGAGTACCTGGAGGAAACCCACGCAGGCACAGGGAGAACATGCAAACTCCAGGCAGGAGGTGTCGTGGCTGGGATTCAAACCATCGACCCTAGTACTGCCAGGCGGAAGAGCTAACCATTGTGTAATTTTTTTAACACAAATAGAGCTTTCTTTTGGTGGTATTTGATCACCACTGGATTTTTTATTTTTTTTATTATATAAACAAAGACCAACAATTTAATTTTGGTTTTAATATGAAATAATATATGTGTTAAAAAAATCCAGTTTAAAAAAAAAACTAATTTCTTCATAAATTTAGGCCAAAATGTATTCTGCTATGTCTTTTCTAAAAAAAAAAAAAATAAATAAATAAAATCCCAATAAGTGTATAATAATTGGTTTGTGTTAAAATGAAAGCGTCTACAAACGATGGTATAGATATTTGAAAACTGATCAATCCTGAGGTACTGAGGGGTGATCAGGGATTTTTTTTTAATTTTTCTGTTACAGTGAAGTTCACTATAACAGCAATGTTTTGCACTATCATGAATGGAGTCACATCAATAACAGCTGTGATTAATAGTGATCTGTGATTGGCTACAGCTAATCACATGGTACAGGGTGCTGTGGGCCAATTACAGTTCACTATAGGAAACACAACTGTTATGAATGAAATTAATTTATAAAACCTTTATTGCCATTGTGATTATGTGATTGCATAGCGATCACATGATCCCCTGGCTGATCAAAGTGGCAAGATACGGGTTACCACAATCTGCTGTGTCCTGTGGACACAGCGGTCATGGAGGAGATGCGCCAGTGCGCATGTGCTAAGTGACGTACAGGTACGCCGTTTAGCCTGCAGCTGCTGCCTGCAGTACATGTACTGTGGGCAGTAGGCAACTTGATAATGAACCTCAAATAGAGCCAGTAGACATGCAAAAAAATGAAAAAAAAAAAAACAGGACTGATGA